AAACGAATGAATGAATGAAACAAATGAAAACATTATGAGAGAAAGAGAGACAAATGAAAACATTATGAGAGAAAGAGAGACAGTAAAGAAAGAAATAAAATGAAGGAACAAAGAGAGTATGAAAGAAAAAGAAAAAGACAGAGTAAAAAGGAAAAAGAAAGAAAAAGAAAAAGAAAGAAAAAAGAAAAAAGAAAAAGAAAGAAAAAAGAAAAAAGAAAAAAGAAAAAGAAAGAAACAAAGAAAAGTTTGAAATCAAAAGAGAAAGTGAGAAGAGCAGAAAAAAGCAAAAAATAAGTAGAAAATATTTAAGCAAAAGAGAGAGAATGTCTGTATGAAAGAGAGAGAAAGACAGAGAGAGAGAGAAGGAATAAGTTGAGAGAGTGTTAAATAAAAATGGTAAAAATGAGAAAGAAAATATGAAAATAAATGTCTCTTTATTTTTCTCTAGTTTCTTTCTTTTTTTTTCTTTTTTTCTCTCTTCATTTTCTTGTCCAATCTTTTTTCTCTCATGTCTTTTTTCTTGTTCCTCTCTTTTTTCTCTTGTCTCTTTTTTTCTTCATTGCTTTTTCTTGTTCCTCTCTTCTTTCTTTTATTGCTTTTTCCTTGTTCTTCATTCTTGTCTGTTTTTTTTTTCTCTCATCACTTTTTTCTTGTTCCACTCTCCTTTCACTTGTCTCTTCTTTCTTTCTCTTGCTATTTTCTTTTTCTTCTTATCTTTTCTCTTGTTTATTCTTCCTTTCTGTGGTGTTAATAACAACTTAGCTTTAGTAAATACTGTTACTGCATTTAGTTACAACTTCACTGTTCATTTAATTTTTAATGTGTTCTACTGATTCAATGAAATTCTAGCTTAACAGCTTCTATTAGTTCGGCAAAGTTGAATTTCCTACTTCTTATGTTCATATCACACACCTCATTCAGTAACCCTCTACCTTGAGTGGCTCTTAGACCTTGTATTGGGTTAACTTTAGTAAATAAAAAAATGTTTTTTTATGGTTGAATATGAATAGTATCACAGACACGCTGTCGCCTCCCTCTGTCTGTTCTACAAATACTTTCATGGAAATTGCTCCGAGGAACTGCATTCACTGGTTCTCAGATGTCATGAGTTCCAGCACCATACGAGGCTGGCATCCCGCTCTCACACCTTCACTATCGAAACTCCTAAATGTAGCCGTCTCTTCTACTCCAATAGCTTCATGTCTCACACCTCTCGCCTGTGGAACTCCCTTCCCTATTCCTGTTTCCCTGTGAGCTATAATCTCCAGCTATTCAAGTGTAATGTCAATCGACATCTCCAGTTGCCTTGATCTATCCCCTACCCTCATCCTTTTTTCTATTACTTCTATCTGATTTTGCTCTAAATTTTCTGTAACCCCTTGTGTTCTAGTGGCTTCCCGCCTTGCTTGGGGTGAAATGCTTAAAAAAAAAAAAAAATTGCAGAACTGACCATTTTTGTTGTAAGGTATGGACAACGTTTTTCCAGTAAACATTTTATTGACTCCATGTTCATTTTTGCCGCAAATAATATTTAACAGACTCATGTGATTCCAGGTAAAAAATAATTCACAAAAACATGGATTTTAAAACAAACAATTAATGCATGTATTAAATAAAAGAAATTACATTAATTTATACACAGCTGAAAGGAAAGAAAAAGACAGTAAATCTTAGCCATTTAGAATGTACAGAAAAGAAATGAGTAAAGTGTACTTCAAAGGCACATATAACCTTGCACAATTTTGAAGCTGTCAAAAGTACTTTGGCTCATTTATACATTTAAACTTGGATTCTGTTGTTAATGAAAGGCATACCTCTTCCAGAGCCAAACTTTTATTATTTTTATTTCTGTTTTATGGAATAAATATTCATAAAACTTCAACCTGTTGTGCATTTTCTTTCATTCTGTATCATATTGTGGAAAATCTTTGTGATCATTATGATACCTCCTCAGTAGATATCTATTAGGATATGGAAAAAAGTTATAATTTTGGCTTATGGGAAGTAATAAAATTATAGATAAAAAAAATCAGTGTGCAATTATCCCACCTTGTCTGCCAGGAGACATTGTATAAAGCAGTATAAAAGGAAAAAGGCACAAATCTTTTTTTCTTCTTTCACTTTTCATTTCAGTCAAAGGATGCTGTTGTGACAAAATGTGTCTCCTTTTCCCCTCCGGGGGTACTTCTTAGTCAATGTTCACATTGAATCACCAGATCTCAGAGCACAAATGATATATGGCTGTGCATTTCTATGATGTAAAAATATGGTGGTGCCACCTACCATTACCTCTACATACTACCTAACCCATGACTTTTGACACTTCAGTGTAGCATAGTATTTCCTCAATTATCCAGACACATTAGGACAGAGGTTGAAAAAATATATTTGGATAATTTAAAATTCCTGGTAATTGAATACTTAAATTATTGAAAAAGAACTTTTAAAAAATTTGTTTTGTGAAAGAAATTCATCATTTATATTATAAAATAACATTTTCAAAAACCTCTCTGGAATTTTTACCAAATCTCTGGCCATAAAAAATATAAGCCTAGTTCCTGGATATCCATCTCCTATGCTGAACCTCTCCATTGTGCTAAAAGAGAAGACGTAGTCATTCCCTGATGTTTGCTGCAATATAATGATGGAATTAGATATTTTTACCACTAGGATATGGAAAAGTCATAAGTTTGATGTATGGGAAGGAATAAAGTCAGCAGCAAAAATATCACTGTGTGATTTCCCCACCTTGTCTGTCAGGAGACATTTTCTAATGCCTGCTAGGTGGTGTTGTATAAAGCAGTATAAAAGGAAAGGGCACAAACTATTTTTCATCTTTCACTTTTCATTTCAATCATAGGATGCTGTTGTGACAAAATGTGTCTCCTTTTCTCCTCTGAGGGCACTTCTTAGTCAATGTTCACATTGAATCACCAGATCTCAGAGTACAACTGATATAGGTCTGGGTATTTCTATGACGTCAAAATATGGTTCCACTTACCATCACCTTTACATACTGCTACAACCGTGACTTTTGTCAGTGTATAGAAACCAATTCTACTTTACTAAAAAGGAGCTTTACTTTAACTACTACTTCCCCATAATTTTGGCTAAAGAAGCAGCAGCATCAGAAGAAGAAGAAGAAGTAGTGGTGATGAGGAAAAAGATGAAAAAGAAAGAAAACATGAAAAAGAATTGAGGGTGAAAAAGAAAGAAAAAGCCATGTGCCATATTCTATTCTTGGGGGAAGATACCTCAATACATACTTTAGCTTCTACTATTATGAATATAAATAAATAAAGGAAAACTACAGATAGTTAATGAATAGGAGAGAGAGAGAGAGAGAGAGAGAGAGAGAGAGAGAGAGTGGGATACTGGGATACTGGGAAAGGAGAAATAGTATGAATAAAAAAAAGAGAAAGAGTGAAAGAGACAAAGAAAGACAGGAAAAAGGAGGTAAGAAATAGAGAAAGAAAAGAAGGGAAGAAAGAAAGATAGAAAGAAAACAGTGAGAGCAAAAAGAGAGAAAGAAAGATAGGAGAAAAAGACAGAGAAGGAAAGAAATAAAAAAAGACTAAAAGAAAAAGAGGCACAGAGAAAAAAAGAAAGCTAAAAGACAAGAGAGAGTGAACAAATACTTATGGCTCTGTCTCAGTTGTGGTCAATATATTAACTATACAGCTTTAACAAACCACTGTGCCCTTTGTACCAGAGCTGTATTAAGGAAAAGGCCAAAGATTTCCAGAGCTGCCATAGAAAATTATAGCTGCATTAATGTCTATTTTCTATGAATACAGGATAATGAGGTAGAGCTAAAAGAAAACAAACAAATCAAGATAAAAACTCAGTAAAAGAAAAACTGTTGAATTACATACACAATGAGGCCACCTGTTTTGAACATCCTAGACTCACGTTTACTCTAGATCTCAAAAGGAACTCATATCACTAAAGATGCTGGAAAAATGGTTGGCTCCTTTTAGCACTCTGTAAAGTACAGAGCTCCTCCTGCCATGTTTTCTCTTCAGATAGCTGATACCTAGAATTTATGAATTTAAATGCTATACTAGCAATGCAACAAGGTCTTGTAAGAATACAGAAGAGCTTATCTTCCTTTGGTGGAGATAATTTCACATGGGTCTCATGACAACCACTTTGAATCTGGAGTCCTAAGCATGGCTTCTTCAGAAGCACAGAATTATCTCCATATATGTAAGGCCACTTCATTTTGTTTCTCCTTACACTCTGCTTTGCTGTGTAGATATATATATGATATATTGTTTTCCACATAGGACACATGTGCATATCTGTATATATAATTTTGTGCATGCCTCAGTAATATAACAGTTTATCTGAGAACAAAGCATATCTGTCACTCTTTTTCCTTTCAACTGTTCCATTCTGTCTGTGAAGCACAGTGTTATTATATTATCGGATATAATAATGCCCATAATGGGGGAAATACAAATGGGAGAATAAATCTTTCTTCCATTAAGCTCTCTCATTACAGTTTCATTAATTTACGGTTGAATTGGCTAGATGTAACTATAATTTCTATATTAACAGTTTATTTTCTTGCACTTCTTGCTTGTGGAACTCTCTTTTGGCTCCATTCTTTCCAGCTAGCTTTGAGCTTCAAAAATTTAAATGCAATGTCGATTGTTATCTACTGGCTTCTTGATCACTCTTCTATTGTTCTTGCTTCTTAATGTTTCTCTTTCCCGTATTTTTCATAATCAGTAACCCCTTGTGTCTTAGTGGTTTTACTGCCTTGCATGGGGTGAAATGATTGAAAAAAAATAAATAAAAGAATATCTGGGCTGAAAGCTTCCCAGAGTTAAAAAAAATATTTACATGGCCTTGTGGATGATGACTTATTTTCCACCCTACAGTCCTATTCCCACAAACATAATGCTACAAGTTTATTATTACTCTGTCGGTACTTCTATAGCAAAAGTTATGATGAGCTCGATTCTTTTCTGTCACAAGCTCAGTCCTGGATTACAACCATATCACTTTGAAACACAGGTTCCTGTATGATCACCAAAGTTAAGTAACTTTGAGCCTTGTCAGCACCTAGATGGGTGACCACTTGGGAATACCAGGGGCTGTAAGCTTGGAAATGTGGGTGGTGTAAATTGTTAATTTGAAAGCTGAGTTCCAATTCCCCTTGGGTCTAATTTATTCACTTACAGTCAAATACCCTTGGGAAAGGCATGAATGAATCTCATCTCTTGCCAACTATGGTTAATTATTAAGACATGTCTCACTAAAACATTATTATCTAAAAAATACTCTTACAATCAAAAATAGTTTCTGGTTTTAAACCTACAAAGTGTTGATAAGTTGTAGAAAATGAATGAATGAATGAATGAATGAATGACTCAGTTCAGTCCTTTATAGCCAAGACACACCTTGTTATATCCAATGAATTGAATCACCTCATTCCCTATGCAAAGAACTGACACTTTGTGGAACAGACATCCATAAGGATGCTCCCTCAAACACTAGAATCTTAACCTCTTTGAGTCACGAGTGAATGGTTATCTCTCCATCACATCCTTGTAATCTTCATTTTCTACTTATGTTCTTATCACAAGCCTCATTCCTCTTCCTTTCAGCCATTTCATTTCAGCCATGAAATACATTGTTATTATATTATGTATGTAATAATGCCCATAATGGGGGAAATGTAAATTAAAGAATAACCTTTCTTCCAAGCTCTCCCATTATAATGTTTGTTATTCGTTTTTTTTTTTTCAGCTGTTCTGTTTGGTTTAGTTTGGTTTGTTTTACAGCATATCAACCTCAATGAGTTATTTAATGCCGACAAAATTTTTATTGCTGGTAATATGTTTTTCTTCAAAAATCTATAGCATGTCGTATTTTTTTTCAAAGAATGTATAGCTGTTTGAATTGCTGGTATTTTTTTTTAAAGTATTGCTGATAATAATTTTTCCTTCAAAAATTATTGCTGGTAATAATATTCTTTTATGACAAAGTATTTCTGGTATTAAAACCTATTTTTACACAAGTTTGGGAGTTAACTATTTGCCCATAGCTGGGACCCTAACAGGTTCTACCACCCCGTGTCAGGATGGACCTGGGAACACCAGCAATTAAGAGGTTGTTCCATGCTCCTCAAAACCTCATGATCAGAGGCCTTGCTGTTGGATGTAGTCTTACCCAGGATGCTGATGTAGTTTATCGTCTTACCCAGGACGAAGCTGTTCTGTTTCATCTGTGGTATTAAGGTATTAGTATATCATGGATATTCTATTATCTATAATGTGCAAATGCAAACTAGAAATATTCTTTCTTTCCGAGTACCCCCATTAAAGTGGTTTTTACAGTTGTTATGGTTCATGATAATGATGATATTTCAATATTTCATCATTCTAGAAATAAACACCTGAAAATTCATAATAAAAAATGACCTTTCCACGGAACTTTTAAATAGCAATCAAAGGGAGGCAACTCTTGATTAATTCAAACTTTCTTGCTTAAATGCATTTTTCTTTCGCATCGTTGTTTGATATTGTATATCTTGTTAATATACATATATTTTATGTACAACAATGTCTTGTGGTTATTCTTACGTGAGTCCTATTTTCTTATCAAAGTTAAACTAATGTGGTGACGTCCGCCACAACACGTGTTCTTAATTTAACAACATGTACAAACCCCAGGTCCGCTACAAATGATATTTTATTTAATTTATATTGTTAAATAACTATATTTGCAGATGAAAATGTCATTGTTGCCAGTGTAAGGATTTTATTTATTTTTAGTGCATAAGTAGAATTATCCATTTTTAAAACAAAACTTATTCAATATCGTTTACTGTTAAAAACTATCCTTACTTAAAAAAAATTTCTACCTTGTAAATTTTTTTTTGTCAGAATGTATTAATTTAAAATGCAATTTTTTCAGTAAACTGTGGGGTTTTTTTGTAATATGAATATTCGTCTAGGTTTGTCCAATTTTTCGCCAAAAGACGCATAGCATGAAGAAAAAAAGGCCCCAAACTTAATAAAAACAAAGTTTTATCGTAAAAAAAGGTTATTACTGTAATAAGAAGAAAGAAAGACAAGGTATTTTTTAATTATTTCAAAAAACTTTTTTTTTTATTCCTTTGCAGCATATTTTAAATTTAGGTTGAAAATCGTTTTTTTTTCTTCTTAGATCAGCGGTCGGGTAATATTTAGCATTAGTTGTTTTACAGTTGAAAAACACATTGATTTGGAAAATCTTGCAAAAATCAAATAATTGTCAGATTTTAAATGAAACCTTCAGAACTTCACAAATGAATGAAATTATTTTAGAAATGTTTGCTTTTTCAAAAGTCATGTTAAAAATATTTTTTTATATCTGTTACTTCCCCACCCGAACTTTTATGAAAACTTAAATTTTTTTTATTCGTGACTCTTAATATTTTTAATTAAATGCACAAGACTCTGGAGAATTGGTAAAAAAAATGGGCAAAATTGTCCAAACTTTTACCTCAATTGAAAAATTACAAAACCCAATAAAACTAAGACAATATTTAATTAAAAAAAGCTTTTAATGGTTTTCTGAATAACATATACTAAGGTAATTTTTATCTGAAACTAAAATATTTTTTTGATGAAAAATGAATTTTTACATTCATTTTTTCTTTTTTTAATTTTAAATACATATGATAAAAAGTTGTTATATCTTTTAAAATTAAGTTTTTTTCATGACTCAATGGAAATTATCTATGTTATCTACTTTTTAAAGATCATAAATTTGAAAGCTTATTAATATTTGAAACCCGAATGTATTTTTAAAATATTTTTTTAATATTCCAAAATTGTTTTAAAAATCGTCTCCGACAAAAGTATGGATGCACAGTTTTGAAACAATGTCACGTAAGGTAGAGTTGTTTCTCTTGATAGAAGCCAGATGTTTTTACTTCAGAAATTGCTTCGCATTCGTTGTTTTATTTAACAACACAACAACACTTGTCAAGTTTACTGACTGAACATCGTCGCATTTCCAAAATTTTTCTTTTTCTTTTCAATTTTTAAATATAAACAGTTTTTCCTTTTTCAGTGTGAGACAAACTGCAAATATTATTTCCTTTTTTTAATTATTTTATTCAATTTTAGACACGGAAACAGGGTAAATGGGTTTATTCTCGGAAAAATATTTCATAACTGACACAGCTGTTTAAAACGCTTGTCTTTGTCATATGAAAGACATGCAGCGAAAAAACAATGTCGTCTGCTAAGACCCCAGGTGTAAAAAAAAAACAACAAAAAAAGCAAAACACAACACACAAGCCATTTTGAAACACCTGGTTTCAAAGATAGAAGAAAATGCCTGACTGAGTTGTCTCCCTGTAACCATCAGCCTATTTAAGCTGGATAAGAAACGACCGGTAAAAATATGAGTAATGAAACCATTTCTCTCTAATATCTAATTTAATTTTTGCTCTTAAAAATATTATATAAAAACTAGCGGATCTTTTCTGTTAATTCCCCCCAAATAATGTAAAGTTACTTATCGCAAATATTAATTCATCTCAAGAAATTATAAATTTTTAAATAAAAGTTACGTTAAATTTTAGGCACTCTCTTGAAATTTTAAATCAGAATTTGTTTAGTTTGTTTTAAAGTTGCCAGAGAGAACTCTAACAGCCTGCACATTATTGGATACAATCCGAAGCTGTAGCATGATGAAAAAGGGCCCCGAACTTAATAAAAACAAAGTTTTATTGTCAAAATGTTTATTTTAAGAGGAAAAATCAAAGTATTTTTAAAAATTATTTTATTAAATTCTTTTAATCCTTTTGTACGTTAGAAATTTTGGTTAAAAGTCTTTTTTTAATTTTTTTTTATATAGTTATTCTATAAAAAATTTATTTCCTACCAAATCCAAGTTCTTGTTCCAGACACAAAACTTAGTAGAAACAGAAAGTCGCTATAATAGGCGCGAAATTACAAAACAAGACGACCACTGCGGAAAATTTTGAAAAAGGAAAACACATTTATTTTACAATATTACAAAAGAAAAGGTACAGATACAAAGTTGCACAAAATTTCCTTTTATGCATCTATTACGGCAGGATAACAATCCGAGTTTACAAAAGAGGGATTGCTATCAGATACAAGGAAAAAAGTGATACAATTTTTACAAAAAAACACGGATTCAAATGCAAAAAAGATTTCACCCTTTAAAAGTGAAAAAAAAAAAAAAAAGAAAAAAAAAAAGGGAAAAACTTAGAGGAAGCAAAGAATTGCAAGAGCAGAAAATAGAAAACTCACCATGTCCGTTTTGAACTGAATACTCAATAATAGGACGTCTCAGCACGAAAGGGTTTTCGTGTTTTTCTCGAGGGCCTTTTGAAGTATTTAGCTGGAAAGTTAACTTCAAAGTTCTTTCGGTTTAAATTTTTCTCAGGAGGGCACAGAAAGGAATATTCTGTCCTGGGGTTTGAATCTGCCCTTGAATCTGTCGACTCTTTCTTTCCCCGTGTTGATGTATGAGCCTCTCGGTTGGGCCAGTCCTCTTGAAGCGTGGGCGCTACTGCCTTCTTCCTTAACCGTTAATTGCTTTCTTGTCAACGATACCTTCTTTCTGTTGTCGACCCGCTAAATAACAGTCCCTTTATTGAACAAAGGAGCGTCATAACAGCTCAATTCAAATTTTCACAAGGACTTGAAAAAATTGTCTCTCATTGACCAATGTATACAAAACCTTTCCCAAAGAATTCAAAAAAACTAATCCGGATAATAAATAATTTTGGCAGTATCAACTGCTGGAGCCAAAAGGGCCATAAAAAATGCAACAATTTTTACACAAACCGTCTGGCCTTCGTAAAAATACACTTCTCTCAAAAGAATGTGTATATAAAAAAAAATCAACTATTTACATTATTTACATTGTCGGACTGTTGTCCTCATCCTTATTATCATATTCACGACGTTTCGGCCGTTGTACGCTCCGGTTTTCTTCAGGTGATTGGAATTTCAACTGAACCCTTTATTTCGTTCACCGGGGTAGATTGTTCTAGTTCCACGTGCCATACCTCTTCCAGATATCTCCGTTATTTTCCTTTAACTCAACTCTCCAAGTTTTTGTTCACCATT